TCCCCCCCCCCCCCCCCCCTCCCCACATAAAAGGAAAATCAGTGGCCATTTTTCGTCTTCAGGCGGGAGTTCAGATACATGTAGGCTTGGACCTTAGCAAATTCAGCAAATTTTGTAAGTGCATGAAAGTCCTCTTCTGGTGCTGGAATTGGTGATGGTTCCTCTCAAAAGTAAGATCTTGTAACTGATCTTTCTCAACATAAGTGTTATTAGCTCTAAAGAAAGTGTGTATAAAATATTTAAATAATACAAGGCAAAACCTTATCAAATATAAACTCACCCCCTTTTCTCAGGGTCCCATAATGTGTCTTTGTAAAATGTTCTTCTCTGTGAGGGTGATGAGTTCACCCATTCTTTCCAGTGCTGGGCAGTCTGCAAGTATCTGAAAAAAAAAAATCAGATCAAACTACATTTAACATTTGCAGGTAGGCTGACTGCATATGTTCAGTCAAATTAAAATTACACTGAAAATAATTTTGCAGTTAGCAACTTACAAATGCAGCTGCATGATGTTAGACATGACATTTAGAAGATTTGATTCACTTGTTCACTTGTAAGGGGGGCAGGGAGGGGTGGGGGGCAAGCTTATTTTTGTGATGCCGTGACTGACCATTTTTTTGTGTCCATGAATCGTGATGTACTGAAAAACTGTTCTGTGAATCGTCATTGAAGTGCACTCAGTGAAACCTGAACTGCCAAAATCGTCGATTGTTTACATGTACATTGAAGATTAACTGAAGAATAATAAATCCTGAATTTGGCCAAATGACCTTAATTAGCATCTGATGGCTCGATTTAAATTTACTTTAGAGAGTCTCTTGATGTTGTTTCACACTTCAGTGCCCTCAGACCCACCTACAGCTGACTTCCCTAGGGAATTTATAATCACGCAGGTTGGTAAAACTCTAGTTAACTGTAAATATTGCTAAAGCACTGTGTTTTACAAAATGGGCCTAACGTAACAGTTTTGACATTTTGTACGACCTTTGTTTTTGAGAATCTTTAAAATGTTTTGTGACTTGTGAAATGCAAAATTGTTGTTCATGAACTCATGATGAGACCCCCCGCCCCCCATTAAAAAAAAATATATTGTAGTCTATCCCTACATTATGATTTCAAAGACCATCTGCAAAAGGGCTGTCTTATATTTTGCTTTTACCTTTGATATAAGGCACACTGCTCCTCATCTGCTAAACTAAATTGTTGCACATCTCCATTATTTCGTATACTTAAAAGCAGTTTACTTCAATCTCTATTAATGCCTCTTGATCCTGTATAGACTAATTCTCTCCTTGTTTTGCAAGAAAATGCGAGCCTATTAGTAAGGAGAATCTAGTAATTTATCAAAAGTCATCATTTATAGAGGTTTGGAAAGGGGGGAGGGTGTCGTGCACAGGAATTAAAATCAAAATTTCATAGTTAAAACAGACTTTTTACAAATCACGCAAACTTTAGCGTTTGATTTTATTTGTTGCCCATATAGTATTGCAAAACTGAGGTGTCGACTATTTTGAATTATGCATACACAAGAAATAATTGTTTGCACACCCTAAAATACTAAATTTACACAGGGCTCCTGATTTACAATAATTCACAACTGCATGCTGTACTCTACACAAGCAGAAAGTGGTTACACTTCATTATTTGCAATCCTTTAGTGTAGTGCGTATGTGCAAGAACAATATCCAGTACTTTTATAGGCTCATAGGGCAGTGACACAGACTACACAATACACTGTTCACTCTTGTGGCCGGACAACTCTGATCATTTGACCTCTACTTGTCTGTATGCCACAGAGAAAGGTCAGTTCATCTTCATCATTACTCAGGTCTTCCCTGACATTAGAATCTATGTCATATTCTTGCGCTTCTCCAGAGTCATCCTGTTGATCATGCGGCTGAGTTTCAGAGGCTGTAGTTTCTATATCATCTGGAAAAGGTTGAGTGGGGGAAACTACTTTTTCTGCTGGTGTATATGAGGAATGGTACATAATGAGAGGAAGTGTCGTGGCCTTAAACTTGACTTGACCTTGATATATCAAGTTCCTTGAAAGTTTACATGGAAATTATATTTCACGAAAAAAAGCTAATTATAGACCATGGTCACGAATGTCAAGAAACAAATCAGTTATTTCACGAATCATGGGATTACTTTTGTTCACGGATCACAGAAATTCTTTTGTTCATGATTCACGGCAATTAAGGTCAATTAAAAATAGGCGTTCACGGTTCACGTTAAAACCCCTTTCCAACCCTCTTTTTAGTAGCTCCTGATGATAGTCAATAATCAAAAGTGCAATTTTTTTTTTCAGGAAGGACCTTTTGTTTATTTCTCACTTGTTGGTTCTGTCAATAATACAAACCACATCTTAGCTGAAGTGTGTAAGTGAAGGAATAAAAAAAACCCCAAAGCATTAAAATTTTCCTTATCATATCAGTGTACTTGGTGTGTTCGATAAAAAAGACGCAAAGATTTTTTTGGCTGAATATGAGATGAGATGATTGAAGAAATCCCTGTCTAGATTCTTCAATATAATTTGCTTAAAGGCATTAGAAGGGATAGAATACTAATGGTATGCGTGAGAGCATTATCAAGTGCATGCACTAGGACTGGGGAGGGGGGGGGGTACTTTAGGATTTTTTGGGTGAGGATGTGCCTCCAGGACCCTGGAACCCTTAGCTTATACCAGAGCTAGTTCAGCTGAATTTTGCTATCCTGTACTGGACTAAACTTCCCAAATTCCCCCTATCCTAAAGTAGCAGTTTTCCAGAAACTACTGAGGTCACTAGCATAGTCCAGCCAAAACAAAACCGATTTGACTTTTTTAAATATATTTTTGAGTGGCAATTCCCGGTCTCATTAGTTCAGACTAAAATCTACAACCAATTATTGATTTATTGATACCCAATTCTAGACCCAAACTCTCTGATTTATTTACCCCATCCCATAGTAAACTGCTTGAAAACCATACCCTTCACAGCGGTACATACTTAAAAAGCCCATATGAGGCAGTACCCCCCTGGGACTAAGACATATATAAATAACTCTGCGAAGACTTTTCTAAAAAAACATTCTATTCAATAAGTAGTTTTCCATAGCACTGGGGATTGTGAAACCTTTTATCTCTTTATAAATGGACTTCTAGTTCATTTTTTGTGAAACAAGCAAAATTATAAGTATGTGAAATTTTGTTTACTGAAGCCAAGAAAGTGTTACTTAACATTTTTTCAGTAAGCAAAAGCCTAATTTGTTTCCACTTTCAACACACTATTGAATTTATATGGTGATTCACAAAACTATTTTTGTCTAACGACCTGTTCAGTTGATCGCCACAGTATTCAAAATTTTAAATACTGTGAATTGAACTCAGAAAAACGTGGACACCTGAAAAATTTCAGGAATGTTGATTGTGTACTGGCCAATCACAATAAAGTTCAGGATACGCAAGCAAACCTCAAAACCGCAAATTAATTACCGTTGCTGTTTGCAGTTTCGCTATCTGGTGCCTCATTGGCTTATTTCTCACAACACGATAACATTCCATAAATATTTCTGGTGTTCACAGTTTTGTGAGTTTCACAGTAACAGTGTGTCGAAAGTGGAAACAAATTAGGTTTTTTCTTCTGCTTACTGAAATAAAGCAAAATCATAGCATTAGATGAAGAATCACTTTTTAATTGTTAATCCATGGATGCTTTCAATTTTTTCTTAATCTCTACTACATGGTTTTCAGGGAAAGAATATGGCAAGGCAGATTCAAGGTGGCTTTATTCAGACCCAACAATTGTTTCTTTAGAGATTCTTACAGTTGTTATCACAGGACCTCTTGCCCTGATGCTAATTCATGCCATTTACTTCAACAAACATTACAGGTAAAGTAATTGCTTTGATTTTATGTCATTGCCAAGGATATGTTTCAGGAAAATTGAAGGGCTGTGGGGCTGTCATTAGAAGCCGGCATTTTTGCTGGCTACTGCAGTAAAATCAGCCTGCTACTTTCAGTCTGGAAATGATGAAAAATAACAAATATAGGAGGATCTGAGTTGAAATACCGTAAAATTCCAAAAACATATTTTTAAAAGGCCCTTTTTTTTGAGGGGCATATGTTGGGAGGGGCTTATATTCGGGGGGGCTTATCTACAGAAGGAAATTTGCGTTTCAAAATCAATTGGGCTAGCCTGAAAGTTGAAGTAATTTTATCTTTTTTGCGTTTTTTTTACTTTGCATTTGAGGGCAATTTTCCAAGTACAAGCCCCTGAGGGGAGGGGGGCTTATATTTGGAGGGGCGATGTAACGGAGGGTTTTTTGCGTTACCAGTTTGGGGGGCTTATATTTGGAAGGGCTTATTTTCGGAATTTTACAGTATATGAAATGAATCACATTTTGAACTGGTGATAAAGCAGTCAAGCCGGAATTTTTTCAGGTCCTTTTTCAACCACTTGGTTTGTTCATTCAACTGCGAAGATCATGTTCACTTTCATAGGAGGATTTTTGGGATGAATGACCAGCTACTTTAATTTCCCTGAGAGACCAGCCACTTTAAAACCTTAATGAAAGCCCTGAGAGAGTGCTTGACACTGAAATGCAAAATTAAATATAATTTATTTATGCTAAAAGACCAATTTCAATATTATTAAAATTCAGACTTGGCATCAAGGCTTTGGGGAACAGAACAAAAGAAATGATCTTGAGGCTTAGCAATGAATAATACATTAATTTCTTTTGTTCAGGGTTCATACAGATTTTTTGATCCAAAATTCAAAACTTTTTCCAGCCTTTTTTCCAAAACAATAATTTCTTTTTCCAGACTAGGTGATCAATAGGGACCTTTAAAAATGCAGGAATAAAGCTCCTTTCATCATACAGTTGAGACTGAATAAGATTTGACCAAAACAAAACAAAAAATCACTTATAAATTTGTTGTTGCTTTGAAAAAAAAAAACTCAAGACTTTTTACCATTTTTCCAGACTTTATTTCCATTTTCCAGACTTTTTCCAGGTTTAGAAAACTGCTGGGCAAATTTCAAGACTTTTTCAAGAATTCAAGACTCTGTTAGAACCCTGTTTATTTTATTCCCCCCAGCAGAGCCAAGTACAAATTTAATATACCGAAATAAATGGTCTATTCTCTGTGTTATTTTAACAGGCATTTTGTGCAGATAACACTATGTGTTTGTGAGCTGTATGGAGGTATGACTGCATTATGCCATTTATCATTTGCCCTCTTAATGGAAGTAGATTTTATTGAAAGAAGAGTGTTTTCAAGTGCTTTGAAATGATGATTATTTCATGGTTAAATTGTTGAACCTTAAACCCAAAACCATTGATGCTGCACCTCCCTGAAAAATTGTAAGGTCACCACAAATCTAATCACGTGTTCAGATTATTATATTGTCGATTAGCAATATTCACTAAAAAAGGGAAATTATAAAGAACATCCATGACCATGGTTCACTGAAGTCCACGGACAGTTGTTGGGTGGGTTTTGGGTAGTTATGTACCATTCATTAGCCTGCATTATAGACAAAATTAAAGCTGTGGTTCTCTTGTTCTGGATCCCCCCCCCACCCCCCTTGAGTATCTGCCATGGCCAGCCTGTTAAAAAAAAGGCAATCTCGATTTACTAATCTGTTTAAAGGGAAATATGAAATTGGAAACTTTTTGAGCCCTTTGGAGGCCAGAGCAAGGATCTCAGCACTGCCTTGCAGACGTTGCTAGCCCAGATAGATAACACCTGTGAAGGCTAGTGCCACATAGGTCTCCAAATTGTTTAAGAAAACAAAATTGCATTTAAAGTGCAAACACTTTATATTTGTAGCTATGTTGATTGGAAAATTCTTTGTCCCAAAGTTGCTTTTGAATATTTTTGTGATAAAACAATTTATTCTGTTATAAATATGAATATCTCTAAACAGGCTGGATGACATTTTGTCCTGAATGGCTGGTTGGAAGCCCAAGTTTGGATACAAGTTTTCCTCTTTACTTATGGTTATATTTAGTATTTTTCAATGGCCTCTGGGTTATATTTCCTCTTCTGTTACTATGGCACTCTTGGAAAGGGCTGGAAGTAATGTACAAGTCTATGACAACAATCACAACAACCTCCAAAAAGAAGAAAAAATAAACCACAGAAGGAGCATTGTACTCAATGGTCATCAGAAAAATACAGTAATAATGTACTAAAAAATCAATGTCAATGAAACTCTAAATTGGTTAAATCTAAAGTTGATTACCTTTGTATTATATATAACCACCAATGAAATACCAGGCGAGCTTTAGCACTAAAACATCATATCTTCACATGAGAAAATAACATGTTATTTATTTTTAACCTCAAAGTTATTTTCACCTCCAAAATTCATTTTGTATTTTTAATAATATGTGGCAATCAGATTCTTTTTATTTTTGAGTAACTTAAAAGAAGTATAAAGTATACAGTTAAACCTCTAGCACATAACCAGCTATATTAAAGAAGTAATCATTATATAATTTGTCACTACATGATTAAATCAAGAACAGTAAGTGTTATTAATTGTGGCCAGCAGGCCATCAATGTCATCTATAGCTTTGTTATTCTGGTCCAGCACTTTCTTGATCATAGCATCCCTTTCAGCTGGTGAGCCCAAAATGTTGAGAGATGCCTCCATCCCCTCAAGTTCCTATAACAAAATTAGAGAGAAAAAGAGAAAATAGTTATTACATCATAATATATACAAGGTAATTTTAGCAGTCAAGTAGAAAGTGTTAGGCAACAAATTATTAAAAACAGGTGATGAAAAACAAAACCTTGAGTTTGTTGTGTTTGTTTTCCATCTAGAAATCCTTTTTTAAGATCCTTATTGAATGTGTAAGGTCTTGAAGAGATCCTACAATAATGTAAACGCACAAAACTAAGTAAGACTAAGGCTAAGATGTGACACAGATCTTATTGAAGAGTCTGTAGTTCTCCTCTTTGAACTTATTTTTAAAACTTTTAGAAATGGAATCACACATTTCAAAATAGCTTTCTTAACATAGATTTTCATCTGAGTTGCTCAATACTGGAAAAAGCCCTTGACAATGCTACTTGCCACAGTAGATGATTAAGTATGACTTAAAAATATTTTGATTTCTGATTTTCTAAGGATGACTTAGTGGCTGTTTAATTTTGGGTTAAATTTCCCTTATTTGTTCATTGTTTAGTTCTATACGCTGTAAGGCTCTCAAGGTTCTGCATGTTTATAGAACACAAGATAGCATATTAATATAATAATAAATTTATTATTGATAAAGCTGAAGTAACTTTTCAGCTACATGCATATGGCATGAAATGGGCAAGTTGACACAATTACAATTACAATTACAATTACAATTACAATAAGTGTATGTGAAATACCTTTCTAGAGTTTGTGCTGTCCTTTGTTGCTTTTAGGGTTTCATTTACAATGCTTTGTTGATCATGAATGTCTGATCAGGCAAAAACTGTGTCAAGGATTTGAAACATAACAGAAGATAGAACAGAGAGAAACAATAGGAGCATGAGAGTTAATGCTTTCTCGTAGATTTAGGGTTAGGTACAAGATTTTTTGATGGGCCATAGGAAGAGGAAGTGCACTGTACATGGGGTCCATGAAGGGGATACATGAGCAATCAAGGACCCACTCCCCTAAATCAACTCATGTAGTTAAGGCAAAAATTATACCAAAGGATACAGTTAAATCATTTTATCTTGTCAATTTCAAGACTCATAGCCCTGTTTATCCAGAAAGTGGAAGAGTTAGAATGTTAACTTCTTATTCGAGTTTTACAGACTAGTGCCTTTATATTCCTGACTGGTCAATTTGCAACGTAAGAAGAATTGGTGTCAATATATTTTTTCTAATAACAGTCAGCATACGTGATAATAGCTGCAAAGCAAGTTTAAACTAAACTCCATGGAAGACCTCAGTAGTCTATGTAAAACCAAGCCCTTCCCCCCGCTCCCCACATAAAAGGAAAATCAGTGGCCATTTTTCGTCTTCAGGTTGGGAGTTCAGATACATGTAGGCTTGGACCTTAGCAAATTCAGCAAATTTTGTAAGTGCATGAAAGTCCTCTGTTGGTGCTGGAATTGGTGATGGTTCCTCTCAAAAGTAAGATCTTGTAACTGATCTTTCTCAAGATAAGTGTAAAGCTCTAGAGAAAGTGTGTATAAAATATTTAAATAATACAAGGTAAAACCTTATCAAATATTAACTCACCCCCTTTTCTCAGGGTCCCATAATGTGTCTTTGTAAAATGTTCTTCTCTGTGAGGGTGATGAATTCACCCATTCTTTCCAGTGCTGGGCAGTCTGTAAGTATCTGAAAAAAAAAAATCAGATCAAACTACATTTAACATTTGCAGGTAGACTGACTGCATATGTTCAGTCAAATTAAAGTTGCACTGAAAATAATTTTGCAGTTAGCAACTTACAAATGCAGCTGCATGATGTTAGACATGACATTTACAAGATTTGATTCACTTGTTCACTTGTAAGGGGGGCGGGGGGGAAGCTTATTTTCATGATGCCATGATTGACCATTTTTTTGTCTCCATGAATCGTGATGTACTGAAAAACTGTTCTGTGAATCATCATTGAAGTGCACTCAGTGAAACCTGAACTGCAAAAATCCTCGATTGTTTACATGTACATTGAAGATCAACTGAGGAAAAATAAAATAATCCTGAATTTGGCCAAATGACCTTAATTAGCATCTAGTGGCTCAATTTAAATTTACTTTAGAGAGTCTTTTGATGTTATTTCACACTTCAGTGCCCTCAGACCCTCTTACAGCTGACTTCCCTAGGGAATTTATAATCGCGCAGTGTTTTTCAACTGTAAATATTGCCAAAGCACTCTGTTTTACAAAATGGGCCTAACGTAACAGTTTTGACATTTTGTACGACCTCTGTTTTTGAGAATCTTGAAAATGTTTTGTGACTTGTGAAATGCAAAATTGTTGTTCATGAACTCATGATGAGACCCCCCCCCACCCCCCCTATTAAAAAAATTGTAGTCTATCCCTACATTATGATTTCAAAGACCATCTGCAAAAGGGCTGTCTTATATTTTGCTTTTACCTTTGATATAAGGCACACTGCTCCTCATCTGCTAAACTAAATTGTTGCACATCTCCATTAGAGAGAATAAGCTGACATAAACTGGAATTCTCATGCTCGTTTTCTTTATTGTCTGTTACATTTCTCAGATCAAGTATTGTTCTGTCACTGAATACGATATTGATGTTTCCATTTGAGTAAGCCTTGAATCTTCCTGTGCCTGCCACAACTGCAGTTTCCACGATATGTGCTGGATAGAATGGCTTGGGCAATATAACTGGAAGATTTGACTCCTGCCAAAATGGACATGCAGCAAACATTAGTAGCATCCCACTAATTAAGGTTGAATACAACCATCCCTGCATCTGAGTGAAGTGTTGACTTAGAGTACCAGCTGAGATATTGACTGATGTTTTAACAAACTTAAACTGGCTCCATTAGTCAAAAGTCCCTTAATCCTTTAATGACAGTTAAATTTCTAAAAGTAGCAAAGCTGGCTCAGGCATCCCAGCCACTTTTTGGAAAATCGGATAGGAAAAATAGGCTGTTTTGAAGTTCAAAATATAGGAAAATATAGGATTTTTCTGCCAAAATATACTATACTAGGCTCTTTATAGGAAAAAAATAAAAATAAAAATTTCTTGGTGACTGCCCCTTTCATGTGCAATTTTCAAAATTTATCTAATAAATTCCCTACGACTTTCTGAAGTTTAATTTTTGTATTTCACTCCCCAAGTTAAGGTATTTTTCGTAAAAAATTAAGAAAATCTAAAAAAGCCCTTGAAATTTCGAAAAGACTCAAGTTGATGAAGGATGACCAAACAGATACAAATTGTATAGCTCTGCTTAAAATGCATTTCTAGAGGTATAAAAGTACTCGGGGTAGCCTAAAACGTATTTCTGTGCTTTTAGGAGGAAACCATCATGGGGTGCCCCTGATCTCCTGGTCCCTTCTGGTCCTAGGTCTGGGATGCCTGTTTGCTGGTTAGCCCAACCAACCAGACTCTGAGAAAATTTACAAAAAACTCTGCAGAATTCATTGTCAGAAGTCAAATGGGCTATTTGTTTTTTTTTTTTTATTGGCTAACATCTCTGTACAGACCACTTCAACTATTACCTACTTTGCTTAATAAATACTGCACTTCAATGCTTTGCAAGAATTGTTACTTATCACCTGCCTGCTTGCTTAATAATTATTTTACATTATAACTACAGGATGCTAAAAAGACAATCAGATTAAATGACATAGTCTCTACAGGCAGGGTCACCTCTTTCCAACAGCATCGCTCAGCTAACTGGTTTCCAATAGTGGACAAGAACTCTATGTAACTGAAATACAATAAAATGATATCTTATTAATTGCCTCTTATTTTGGGGTTTACAGTCAAGCCAGGTCAAGCACATCCTCGGAGACCCAGGGGCAGTCAGTCAGGCCGAAAGAAAAGGCGCGACAAAAAGTTTTCAAGTACAAGCGGAAAAGCCCCTGGGTACCGACTCTCACCAGACCATTTCCAAACGGTCAAGCGAATGCTGGTTCCTGATTGGGCACAAAAAATGCTTTGTATTATTGTGCCCAATCGGCGAACAGCATCTCCTGAGTTCTTTTCGTGAGTTCGTACACAACGGCTATTGACTCGATCATGGCTTGTCTGGCTCATGCACCAAAGAAATGCACGCAGTCAGGAATCTTTCAGTTTGATACAAACACTACATTTCAAAATACTGGTAGTCTTTACACTAGAGCCTAAATAAGCTAACAAATATTTCAAGACAAGTAAATTTTAAATTCTTCAGGTAAAAGAAAGCTTCACACACAACCTATCTTTTTTACTTCAGGTTTTCCCACGCAACATAATTAAAATTGATTGACATGCTTCGCCTTTCTCAAAGCTTGGAAACCGCAAGTTCGCCAAGTCGGTTTTAATGAGATGCAAAGTGAAGTTACTTGAGATTTTGCTTAGGCCTTCACACGCGCATTATTGGTTATGTAAAACGTAGCAGCTCTCAAGTCTTACTTATAGCCTAGTGTAAAGACAACTACTGTCTACACGAAAACTAAAGACGCTTTTCCAAAAATACAAGCTTGAGCTTACAACAGGTATTCATGCTTGCATCGATCACGCGTTCGTAAATATTAGGGAGATTAATATGCCGCGACAGCTGACGACCAGCTGACGTCGCATGAAGAGTGAACGCACATTTTTTCAGTCTCTATCGTGATTATTCCAACTCACTTACTTTGTCAAATGCAAGCGAACTCTTCTGGAATTGAATTTCTATCAACCATATCCAAGTTCATAAAGAGAAAGAAAATTTTGTCATTGCTTGTTTACGTCCTTCACAAAACGTGAAGTTAAGCATTTTCACG